TACAGCCATTCAAGGGAATTTCGACGAAGTATGCGGTCTTTACATTTTGGGCAAGGTTCATGAGAACTTGTTTTCGTACGCTCGTAAATCGGGGATTTTTTCATAGATTGGAGTCTGAGACATGCACCATTCGATGGCACAGTCCCTTAAAGGCATTGTCCAGGTCAACTGGGGGGTAGTGGGATTTTGACGCAGTGCGGGAGCACGGCTCCTGACTAATGCAACAGTCCAAGTCCAATCGAAAAAGGTGGATTCTGAAGCAAGAAAATCGCTCCGGAGAAAAAGCGCGAAAAAAGGGGCGGTCCGCCAATCCCGCCCCCTTGACAAGTTTTGACAAGGTTTATACATTGAACCTACAGCATTCGCCTCGTCAAAACTTGTCAAGGAGGCGGGATTAGCGGACCGCCCCTTTTTTCCGAAGCGATTTTCTTGCTTCAGAATCCACCTTTTTCGGTCGGACTTGAACTGTTCCATTAGTCAGGAGCCGTGCTCCCGCAATGCGTCAAAATCCCACTACCCCCCATTTGACCTGGACAATGCCTTTAAATTCAACCTATGAAAGCAAGCGGGCAAGTTTTTGACAGATACGCGCGAATTGCGGGCAAATTTACGCACTTTCGTGACTTAGTTAGGGTTACCTCATTATCTCTGCAGAAAGATCCTTAATTCCTCAAAAACCACGATTTCCGTGAAAAATGTGTCCGAAAAACCTCTATAAGCGAAGTTTCCTTACAATTCAAGATCATTAACATTTTGACCAAAATCCATCGGCGAGCTTCAGAGCGTAAAACGAGAAAAAAGGAAATAACTCGAACATTGCGGAAAACTTGCTCATAGATATTATCCGATCTGCTGATTACGAAAATCACATCTGCTTAGCGAGAGAACTTCATATTTTAGGGTTATGGTTAAAAGAATTTAGAACGACATTACCAAATTCACCAGCCCTTTTATTTCCTTTGGAAAGAAGTCTACGGCTACTTTTTGGCGCTTCATAATCTACGGAAGAAGTAGAAGTACTATCGAAAAGTCTTCACTGGAATCTTCTAGGAGCAATACGCGCGGTCTCATGCCTCTGGGAAGAAGGTCCGCAGAAAGTTTTGGAACACTGAAATTGAAATATCAAGAACATGCTGTATATCGAACGATTCGCCTTCACGAGTTGAACAAATGCTGCTTTCGGATTCAAAAATATTCATTACGAAGGAGGTTATGGCGCACCGTAATTTGCGATATTCCGGGAATTTCGCGAAGTTTCCGGAATTTTGCGAAGTTTCCGAAATGTCGCGGAATTCCGGGAACGTCGCGGACTTTCGCGGAATACCCGGAATTCCGCGACATTCGTGGAGATTTTGCACGTTCAGTGAGTGGTTTTGTAAATGATGTTTCGAAGTAATGATCGTTGAATCACTAATCGAAACTTGGGATTATCGAATATCTCAATATTTTGATAGATTGTTTGTTTTTACCAAAGACATACTCAGCACTCTTTGCACTCAGCAACTCAGCAAAATCTGATGCGATCTAAAAGTTCTTCCGTTATGCCGTAAACCTACCGTAAACTTACATAAAATGGCAAAATTCGGCAAGAATGTCTGCAATTGCAGTTTGTACTATGTACCTTATATTGCCAGAAAATGAATGCGCTACGTTCAAAAAGACAAAAGTTGTGTAAAAAGCTGCATTGCTTATGTGCCAACCCATTATTTAACAATAGTGTTTGATATAGGTTGGATATTGGTTCAATCTCCTATATCTTCTCGAACAACAAATTTCCCTCTTCCAGATGGAATTGTGCCTTCGACAAACTGAAACAAGTGTCAAAAGTGAAGTTTGTTCGAATTCCTGCAACTTTCTTGAAGTGGAAGTTGTTTATAGAGAGAAGAGAAGGAGAAGTAAAGGTAAAGCAAATAAAAAGAATTTGAAACTGTGAAAAAACTGGGTAAAAACGAAAAACTAATATGTGCATAAGGTTGGACATTCTGCAAAATTTACCGTACTCTTTACTTCGGGACCCGTGTCCGAAGGCATATAGCCAGTATTACCTTCGCCGTACTTCAACTTTCCGAACTCACAACAACTTATTGCGTGCCTATCACATCGACAACGCCAGGAACCTGTTCATCTAGTAAAAATATGTGTTTAGAAACGGTGAGCCTAATGAATGAAAGAATTTCTTGACACAACGAGAGATAATAAACAACTTTTGGACAGGTTTGGAGAAACCATTTCTACGCCAAGACTATTTTGATAAGTAGGAAAATCTCCCTGAGTATCCCTGTAACTTCATCCTGTCATTGCATTAGCTCTCAACACAAATTTACTTGGTAAGAATCTCTCCGGCTTGAATCTGACTTAGACGTCCACATCTAATAAGATTATTGAAGATACCAGTGCTTCACCTCTGCTTCGCAGAGGTTCGCACTGGCATCGTAAACCGTGGTGAACTCACTTTCTGAGAGCTTGTCTCTCAAATCATTGTTCGGTTTATTGCAAAGTGAGCCGTAGTCAAAAATGAACCATACTCGCTATCTTAACCTCACATGATGTTTAGTATCGTAAATCATTCCTCACTGTAATTTCGTAACGGACAAACTCCACACAACTTCAGATTAAGCCGCTTATTATAAGTCACTATTGAAGATATGGTTGATAAGGGTTACTTTCGAGTGAGTTGCATGCATTCGAGAGGGCCTGTTGTATGGCGCTGTTTGCAGCACTTACTGCGGTGATGTGATGGAGGCCTCATCGGCCATCGTATTATCGCTATTGCTTCATAACATTTAAGACGGCGAAGCCAAGCTAACATTCAAAGGCCAAAAGAATGCACCTTTTGAAGCAGAATGTTTTTTATTTACATGTATCACCAGTTACTAACGGAGCACTTTAGTGCGCGACTCTTTGTGCAAAATTTGAGCGCAGTTTCTCATCTTGAACTCCAACAGCATTCGCATTTTTCGATAATCATCTTAGTCTAAGAAGAAAACGATACTTGGTGTCCGTGTCCTTTTGAGATAAAATTATACCATTCACTCGTCTTGGAACGCCCGAATCTGACTTTCGTTTCTGCTTATCGTTTCTCTAAAAGAAGTTATGGAAGATTTTCGCACCAAGTTTGGCTTTGAGGGAAATAGAACGGGAACACCAGTACTACCGCCGGTACGTTGTTGTGTAGTGGTTAGTGCGGTAGCCCTACAAGTTGATGCATGTGTAGGTTCGAATTCTTTTGTGTTTTCACTTCGCATCGTATCTCCCACGATGTTGGTGTTCCCATCGTATCTCGGGGCCAAATGGGGTAAAAATTTTTCGTAACTTCGGAAATAGATTCGGAACCAGCTCGAGGACGAGTGTAATGTTATACACTTCATCTCAAAAGGCCATGGACACATTGCTCCCTTCTAGGAAGAGGTTAGCTGAAAAACTTTGTCGTTGTCAAAAAGGTTGTAAAAACGCAACTTTCCGTCATTGCTGGAATAAATTTTTGAGTAATGCCTACTATTTTTGCTTCATTCGCAATAATTTTCTCCAGATGCCTTCTGCCTTCTTATGTCACGCAGAGTGGAGGTCACGTTAATGACTCTATGTATTAGATTGTAACATAACTTTTGTTACACTTGAAGGAAAGAACCCTCGTAACTTATCCCATTTTTTCTCATCTCCGAATTGGTTGGAGGGCTGTAACTCTTTTCTACATATACATGCCACACGTGGAAAATCGAATTTTTAATTTTTGGAAATTTTTCTAAATTATTTTTGGCAAATTTCCAACTTGCGTTATTGAACAGGCTAGACTTCCGAACTTTCCTCATATTAGTACCAATGTCCCTAGGAATCCAACAAAAATTTGAGAGCATAGAAAATAGGAATGAGAGAATTTTTGAAGGCAAAAGAAAGAAATGATTTGAGTGCCGTCATAAATTTTATATTTACTGTAACCCATACCTATAAGGGCGAAAATGATGCCAACAGATACTCTTTTTTCCACTGCTTATATGTGCCAAATATTAGACTTTGCCAAAGTTTGTAGAGTTTTTCAAAAGCAAATGAAAAAATGTTAAAGTTTGTAGAGCTTTCCAGAAGAAAATGAAAAAAGTGTTTCAAAACTTATATTACGACCTAATATTAAGGGCATTATGGATGCTTGTAAAAAACAAAAACAACTTGAATTCGGTTCCAGCTTCGCACAGAATCAACGAAAACAACAATTTGATCGCTAATACCCTAGTCGCATTGATGATTATGTATAGATTATTTAGATGGCGGCATTATGGATGGCATTATCAATGCTCTTTGCAAATTATCAATTGTCTGACGAATATTTGAATGGACAAAGGAAAGCATGTTCACTTTAACTTTGATTTAATTTCGCGTCATGGCCCTAGAAAGGTCCCAGACGTACCACAGCAACTTCATTCTGATGTAGAGATTTTGAGAAGGATGATAGATATCCACAAAAAAGCTCAGTGCCAAATAAAATCATGATAAACAGTGCTCACGTTGATGTAGACGTGCGGAGGTATCTGCAATTATACAGAGCTATCATCCCGGCTTTGCTCTATGAGACTTGACCTTGCGCCAAGAAATGGAAAACATTTTGGCGCGAATTTGTTGCGCAAGGCATTCGTTTCCGTGTTTTTTCTACTTTGTGACGCGGAATAGTTAAGTCCAATCCAGTCCAGTTTAGTGCCCGACAATAAACTAGAGCAAAGTAATGCGCTACTTTGCTGCGGTATCGCAACATCACTCACGCAAGCTCACGTAATTTCGTGCAGTGGAAAAAGGATTGTCTCCCTCTGCAATTTCAAGATAAAAAACGATAAAAAAAACAATTTGGCAAGTCTTGTGTGGTTCGATTACGTCTGCGAACCTTTCGCCTCCTTCCCCTATCTCCCACTGCAACCAGCCGCGTTATATCCAACTTACATTGGTTTTACTCGCAAGTTTCGTTGATATTTTACTCATTCTTGTCGGTTTGACTTAATTGTACACTTTGGCTTCTCATGTTTTGGTTTCTTGGTGTGAGTGGTGTAGGGTATAAGGGTAGCCCTGCTGACTTACCATTTTAGCTCAGCATTCCAATCTTCAGCCTGACTACACCAGCACTCCCAGATAAAGTTAAAGGAGTCACAATTACTGGAGTGGTGGCTTGTAAAGGAGTCGCTCCAAATGTAATCATATCTTATTACGGTAAGGAAAGTTGTGTAAATGACTGGCTGGTGTACCCGGTTGAAAAACTACTCACCCATGGATACAGCTAAGGATAAAAGAAAAAAACAAAAACTGTTTGCTTCAGAGCGTGACTCACGCTCTTCAGACTTTTCCCTTCTGTTGTCACTACTTTTTTTGAGGTTAACCCTTCTCAATGCATGTTTTCTTACTGAAGGCCGCTTTAATCGGCAGGAAAGGTTGGAGATCTCTTATATCCACCTCTCTCATCAAGACCGCTGGGCTATAATGAATGAACGCGTAGGCATTTGTGATGTGACTGATTAGCACATCACCATTCACATTGTTAAAATCACTTTCTATTGTGCCTTTCTTCTATCAGTTTGTCCTCCCTGTCACTCAATCAACATTACTATCGCTCACCGCATAGCTGCCCAGCAATAGCTGTTCATTTTTTGAGATATTTTCTTCAACAGAACTTGCATCCGAATGTAAGTCTAAACTAAATTTTCCATTTGTAATACAACTTCTATGATTTTTGGACATTTCCGCATTGCCCATCCATAGCAAAAACATCGCTGCTTTACACCTTTTGAGTATTGTACATGAGTGTCAAAAATGACTTTGGTTTGGTTTCTGGTTACTATTAATCAGTCATTATGACGCATGTATAGTGTGGACCTAGTGCTTTTCACGCTCATGCTGCGAAAACTTGACCTTTCAGAAAAATGTCACAATATATTAATTTTCGGGAAGCTTGCACGCACATGATGCAAATTCACATCATTTTCGCACATCTATAAAGATAACTTTAGATAAATATACTTTGGAACTTTGTACTGCGTTCCTCTTTCACAAACTTGGAATGGAACATACCTCTGCGAATTATAGTAGCTCAAGGAAGAGATTATGTAACACTGTTGAGGCTTTCTTCCCAAATGTAAGTAAACAAATCAGTGAGAAAGGCCAGCTGAATCGCCAAAAACTAGCCCATGCTGCGCTGAGATCGAAAACCTATGCGTGCAAAGTTTGAGTTATTAGCTACTTATTAGTTCACCCACAAAGATTTCTATTCAAAACATCATAGACTCTTCTGAGTTTTATATGCAGGGTGGCCGGTAAGTATGGGCGTTACAACATGTTACATATCTTTTGCCTAAAATATTGTATCAAGACGGCTTCTACGCTGTAGCTTATGGACGGTCTCTAAAGGTAGATCATGCGAGCTGAAGCCTTCTGATGCATTTTGAAAGGCGCTGAAGCGCGTTCAGTCAACACCATGTTCATACTGCCGTGTTTTATTTTGGAGAGGAGCATTTCCGCTATTACGGGACTGTGTTAATATTCGAACTGTGCTTTGCAAAAAAATCAAGTCTCAGAATCTATTCGATTAGTAATCGGATTATTTCCACGAATTCGTAATGGATACATTCTTCACATAGCTTTTTTTAACGTATCAACTTCAAGATAAGCTGCTGAAGTCTGTATGCATGTGCAGGAACTCAATCCTTGTGAGTAAACATTAAGGTATCTCTGTTTTTGGCACCAAAAATAATTCTAAACAACTTTGCCTTCCTAAAAAATCACTAAACGCAAAATGTGACGCTCGACCTTTTCGGCCACCCTGTATGTATAAATTAGATGGCAGCACTGGCTCTGTACCAGCTACGTACAGTCAGATGTCCCGAATGCGAACTGGGGTGATTTTGTGCCGTAATGGCCCGCTCCCGCGCCCCTCCTCTCCCTATTCCCCTTAAAAAGCGCCTCTTATATATTTCTCCCAGCTAATGGAGTTTGGAGAAAATCAACAAATCATAGCAGGTTAGCAAATCTAAGGGGATTGAAGACATTCGCCACATCTCATCAACATGCATAGCTGAGTATCATATACAGGGGATAAGCAAATAAAGCAAACAACAACGGATAAGAGTGGAATGTTTATGCTGGAAGGACTCGTCCTAACGAAAAAGAAACCTATTTTACATCTCAAATATAACTGCAGCAACCTGGTAATTTGAAACCTTTTGAACAAAGGAAATTTCAAAGAGTTTTTATCGATCATTTCAGTGCAGCTTCAGTTACACGTTCAATGATTTGAAGAAATACAAGAATGGAGAGGTGAGGACAATTTGATGAGCATCATTACGAGCTGTATGGAAAGTTCTGTAGGTGTACGACTTTGGACCTATCCAACTTGCCAACCCCCATCTTTCACTAAAATCAAAGAAATGCTGAATGGAAATGTTATGCAGCATATTTATCAATCAACAGTCTACCAAATACGTTGTTTTCTTGCTCTTGGAAATAAAAGCGTTCAATTTTTATAGGAAACCTCGCACATATAGAGATTAGTAATTAATAATAGTAGTAATAGAGTAATAATTTTGCGTTTTTATCCTGAGAAACTGAAACCTGAGTGAAGGGAGATTACTTCAAAAGCTTATTGTACGAAAAATAGTCCCGTTCGGCTTGATTTGTGGAGAGACAGTACTTCATCAAACCATGCCTTTCAGGAAGCCGGTAGGGAATTTTTACAGAAATGTTTAAGTTTTTTGAAAATTTGTGCCATACTAGTTTCTACAGCTACGAAGAGAAACATTTAGAGTAATATTGTTCTTTTTCTGCTCTTGGTCAATTATTACCGCTGATTTGTCAGTGCAAGTTCGTTTGCATCCATTAACTAAATTTGAGGTACTAATGAAGGTTGCGTACGTTTCATTGCAATGGTCTCTTTCGAAGTGAACCTGGAAGTTTCCACTTTTCAGTTTTCCTATGTGTGCGTAGATATGCTCTACTGCTCATGAGCGAGGTGAGGAGCATCACGAAGGGCGCGCGCTGCGGGTGCGCCGCGGAGCCACCCATGTGAAACTGGCCGGAATCTACACTATAATCCATATAAGAGCTTGCTTTTATCTACATGGGTCCCCAACTGCAAAATCAAAGTGCAAAATGCAAGTGTCCATAATTCACAACGAAAAAAGTTGAACTTCATGCAAAACTTATGCATTGGCAAAATTGTTAACACCTCAGAAAGTTTTCAATATATCGGCGTTATCTTGGACGTGACAGTTGGCGGCTCGGCTCCCTGAAGCTCATCTTATTCCTTCTCAATCTCGTTTTTTTGCCTCCAAGGACATTTCACACATTTTCTTTTAGATGAGCTTCTACAGAACAGACATTTAATGCAAAAATAGTTATTACATGTTGAGGATGGCTAGTTGTCCTTAATTACGTTAGTCTATGAGACAAATTCGAACTGAATATGGTAATAGTACTTCAGATAGGTTCAACAAAACGATGGACTATGAATTGAAAAAATTTTTGCGTTTAGAGGCATTGTTGAATAAATTAATCTCTAAGATATGCAAGTTTCTCCGATATTTTCCATAAGCCCAATCATTTCTCGAAAAACGATACTCTTTCTTTCGTAGAAAATTGACATAGTATCCACAAGTTTCATAATTTGTACAAAAAGTATGCTTAGCCTATCTACCACTGTAAGCCTGCCCACCAATGTGTTTGGTCAACTAGTTTGGTTCCCCGGTCCGGCTCGAAGCGGGGGTTTGAATTGACTCGGTGGAACGCGCCTTGCTCCCAAGGACTTACCCTACCGGAGAGTCCTTGCCTTTGCTCTTCTTTACCCTTGCGCCTCTCCCCTTCCTTTCTTAGCGCCGCATGAACTCATCCCTGCCGAGGAGGGGATCGCAGCTTAAAAGAAAGCTTTATATTTCGAAACTCCAGATACCTGGATTTCAGGTTGTGTACCTATCCGTAAGTATTCCTACTACCCTTCACTATGAACATGTTGAACAGGAGGGAGAAGCCGTACGAACCGCATTTTCCACCTTTTGTGTGATCCCTGATGATCCCCGGCGCTTTTCTTTAAAGTCATTTTTCTTTCTCCGAAGTTAACGAAAACCTTCCAAAGTTGTACTGAACATCTAACACAATACTGCTAAGCATGTTGCTGATGAGAACAAATGAGTTTTTAGAAAGTCGAATTTTTCGGTAAACCTCAAATTTCGACCTATGGATCATCGAAAACTTCGTGACTTCAAAACATCATTCGTTCTTATCAACAACATGCTTAGCACTGTCGGGTTAGATAATCTGCACAACTTTGGAGGTTCTTCGTTAACTTCGAAGAAAGAAAAATGACTTCAAAGAAAAGCGCCGGGGATCATCAGGGGATCATACAAAATGCTGGAAATTGCGGCTTGTACAGCTCCTCGCTCTTGTTGAATATATTCATAGTGAAGAAAGGTAGGAATGCTTGCGGATAGATATACAGCGAAATCCAGATATCTGGAGCTTTTGAGCTGCGATCCCCTTCCCACCGCGGATGTTAATGCATGCGGCCCTTATTCTGACTCTTCTGACTCCAGACTTGCGCTCAGCCCTCCCATGGCTTCTACGGCACATTTCTCTTCCTTCCTGGGTGCTCTTGCAACACTGTATCTTCATCGCCGCAAAATGTAAGCGAGCTTCACCCCCGTCCTAACATGGCTATGGGTAAAATATTTGGTTAGAGAGTGATGAGCTACTATTTTCTTAAATGTAAGTGAACAAATTAATAAATCGATAGAAGGACCCGGTGAACCGTAGCGAAAAGTCGCCTATAGCCATCGCCATAGCTTGATCTTAGGGAAGCAAGGTTCAGCCCAATCGGGCCATGCAAAATTTCTTATAACGAGCGCAGAAATGTTTTTGTTCCGAGGTCGTTAATTGTTGCTCGAATAAACTTTAAAATCTTCGACCCCTGGTTTTTACCTATCCCAAATTCAGCTGTTTTTCGAAATGTTCATTTCTAAGTTGTGTTTTGATAACCGTTAAATAAAGTAAACAAAATGCAGTACAACGAATTTTTTGAGCTGCTGTAGGTGGCCATTTGCTATTTTGCATGATGATTTTTCCAAAATCTTATATTTTGGGTGTAAATACAAACGCTTTAGACATTAGTGAATTCTGGGAATCTGATTTTCCAAACATTGTTTATAATTTATCATTGATTTTACCATGCAATTAAGCGTTTACCGTTTCGAGGTATCAAAATTCGCATTTTTGGATACAGAAAAGGCTGCATGCGACCCTAATGGCGAGCCGTTTTATTTTCTGTGAGGTCTGATAGCATCAAAAAAACATTCCTGAAAAATTTGGAAAAGCCACCTAGGAGACATCACAGCTAGAAAGGGGAAGACTTCTTGCAGCGAACATTTGGAGCATTCGTCTGTCATCACTTTGTGCGGTTTGAGAATAGATCTGAAAAACGGCACGAACTTACAGCTGACCAAAAAAATCATTTTTTTGATAGTTCCAGAAATGAACATTGACTTTATGATAATATTCTGTGTTCATTAATCACATTAAATTTGCACAAAGCAGAAAAGTCAGGTAATGGCACCATCTAAGCGGTGGAACAAGCGGTAGCCGGGTACTTCAAGTTATCATTTATATTTTTTCCTGGATAAATTCTCATGGTGGGAACAACTTGCAAAAGGAAGATGTCTTTGAATCATTGCTGAAAGCAACCGAGGTATTTTGGTAAATATATTCTGTTCTGGATTGATTTGCTTATACCAACCGGTGAACATTCTAAGTCAATTTCAATTGCTTTCGTACTTCATCGAAAGTTTAAAAAGCATGTCGAGCTTAAACGTGTCAAATTTTATCCTGATACATGGCAAGGGAACAGTCCCCATAAATTTCATGGAAAGAATTCCCCGCGCCCAAGTATGTATTTCATGAGAACGCTTCGAAAAAATTGGGATAATGGTAAAGTACATTCCTGAAGTTTCAGTTTTTTAGTTTCTCACAGATGGTATGATGGGACTAAAGGCTCAAAAGTTTAGCAGAGAACATAACAAAAGCCATATATTTGCTCTGGAAAGAAATCTTTCGAGATGCATCAAATAGGTGACAAGAAAACCAACGTACCCATCCACATGTTCAATCCCTCCATATCCAATATTCCTTTCCTTGATTTAATGTAGCAGATGGCAGCGCTTAGGATAATCTCACAAGGAAAGCATGTTTATTCGAAGCGGCCTTTCTAGATATAATGTACACGATGATGGGGAACATATCTTTATATATATCTTTTATACTTGAACAGAGCTTGCTAACTTCTGAATAATTTTTATTGGGATTTCGCCAACTAGTTTCCGCCCGTAGGCTCGTTGACGCACAAAAATGGAAAAAATGGAAATTCTCATAGGCAGCAAGATTGGAATTTGAGCTGATCATTACTATTTTTGGATTCCAAACCTATTGCATTCTGCTATTCTAATGCAGAAAGTATTCCTGTTTCCGTACTGTGGTTTTTTCCAATCAAATCACTTAGACTGCTCCGTTGTCCCTTCTGAACTGATATGAGTTGCTCGTCATTGTTCACTGTTAATTTTTGACTGTTATTTTGTTTTTATTGTTTTCATGTTGGCGCATTTTGAGTGTAAACAATAAAATGAAATAAAATGTAATAAAATAAAACGCTGATGTGAAGTTCATTATCTGCGGAACACTATGGATGAGGGGTTATGATCTTTTTTGCAAAAAATCAGTTGTGAATTTAGGACAAAATGTTGCTCAAATCATACTAGCCCTCAAATGAAGCAATCAAGTGCTACGTATTTTCTATTCTAGGGGTTTTTATTGAATAAAGTGTTCTGACAATTATCATTGCTCCATTAAAGCAACAGAAAATTATTACGACCACTTTTTCTCCTACTTGCACATTCAGTTATTTGATTCAGTAAATGCTCACAACTCCTCGTCCATAAAAGTTTCGCTGATTGGTGAGGCAGATTTGGAATTAGCATTTTGTGCGCTTCGATATGGTATATGCTTCGCTAGATTGTTGTACAGATTCTAGAATTCTTTCTCAAGCTTTTAACTTAGCGTGGTTTGTTTGTAAGACTATAATTCCTTTCCTTGGCATTATAAAATGTGCACGTATAGCTTAGATCAGCAAATGTATCGATAACTTGTATGGTCATGAGTTTTTGATCCTCTTACTCCTTCTGACTTTTCCAAATGCCAAAATGAATAAATGAGCTCAGCGAGGGGATAGAAGAAATAATGTTTTTGAGTTCTTCATTCTTTGCATGTATACTTACAGAGCCGCTTTTGCAGTTAACGTGCTTTGCAGAGGATCGAAAACCGAACCGAAAGTCTAAGCTTTCAAGAAAGCTAAGCCGTAAAGAAACAGAGCTTATGAAATCGAAACTCTCCATCTTTTTCAAAGCTTGCATCCCTCAAACGGCCATTTTCTAAAGCTCTCTATGCCAAACCTCTTACAAAGGATTAGCCAAATC